ATTACTTAAAGAACTTGTTGTTTCATATGCAATGGAATTAAATAAAAGAAAAAGAACCCTTAAAGGCATTATCCTTTAAGCCAGCGGTTCTCAACCTGTGGGTTGTGGCCCCTTTGGGGGTTGAGCATAAATAATTTGTGGGGGGTCACCACAACATGAGGAACTGTATTAAAGGGTCACAGCATTAGGAAGGTTGAGAACCACTGCTTTAAACCAAATATCTCCTTTTCTTTGTAATTGTGTCTTGCTGTTGTCAGGTGCCCTTGGCTTGACCGTCACTCCTAGCGACCCTGGGTACACCAGAAGGACTGCCCAGCTCTGCTCCAGCCTCACGGCTGGCTTCTGTGCTGAGCTCATTGCTGCCCCACTGGGTCAGCCCAGCTTGCCGAGGGATTTTCTCTTTTTCACTGACTCCACTTGGCCAAGTGTGATGTCATTTTCCAGGGACTGGTCTCTCCTTACAACAGGTCCAAAATATGTGACGTGAAGTTCTGCCATTTCTCCCTTCAATGTAGCATTCTGGAAGTCATTCCTCCAAGACAGTTTCTTCTTCGGGCAGTCCGCGATACTTTCAATATTTGTTGCCAGCACCTTCATTCCAGCATATCAGTTCAACGCCCAACTTTCACATTTTTATGGACTGTACTAAATGCAGTAAGTGCTCACTTGTTAGGTGACATCAGTTGGTTCGAACTTATAGTGACCTTCTGCAAAACAGAACAAAACACTGCTCATTCACTGGGTTTGTATGTATTTGCCCTATTCGGAGCTGTATCACAACCCTCCTCAGTGTATTTTATCCAGAACTACCAAGCCAAAGACTGCTGTTAAGTTGGAACACTCTGCCTATTGGAAGGGAAGGGCTGCAGAATCACAGGCCACAAAGATGTGCATGCAAGGAAGGCTGGAGCTCCGTGCCTGCCTTGCCTGCAAACCTGCACACTTCACTTCATGCCTTGTGCCTTTATTTGGTATTCACCGTACTCTATTCACTTCTGAGAATTTTCTTGTGTTGCCTTTTACCTAGGTTTTTTTTCTTTCCCTTTTTAATTTAGTAAGTAAGGAAAAGAATTTGAGAACAGCAAGATCTATAAAAATTAGATAAAGGAAAAATAAAGTTTCAAAATCACCCTCTGATCATAGACCAGGGTTGTGAATAGCCCTGCTATCATGCAGAGGGTAATGGAAAGTGGGTTACTGCAGATATAGTTATGTTACAATTTAGTACCTTATCACTTGATCTCCTTTTTGACCCATTTAAAAGGTGTTCTAGATTTTAATGTTTACTGTTTTCTTTTTGATTGAGGTTTTTTGTTTTACTTTGTTTTTGTTATTATTATTGTTTTGTTTGTGTGTTTGCCTCTTGAATGTTTTTCAGTAAATGAAATCTAGGATAGGTAAATCTGTAGAAATAGTAGTTGGATTAAAGGTGTCTTAGGGGCATGGCAGGGGAGGTTGGGGAGAAATGGGGAGATATAGTAAGTGCAAGAAAGAAGAAAATGTTTTAAAATTGTGGCAAGGATTGTACAACTCTTCGTGATATGACTAAACTATGGAATTGTGAGATTGTGGGTTATGTGCCAATGCAGCTGTTAAAAATAACAGTGAGAATGCAAAGAGCTGGTGATTCCTGTTAGGAGAAAGTTTTAGGAAACAAGAACGTATTTTGCTTCTTGTGGTCTTGTTTTACTTTTCTTCAGCTTCAATCTGAACTTGTAAATGAGCAACTGATGGTTGGTAACCTCCATGAGACCGGCAAGGACAGCGGCTGCAGCCGTGGTGTCACATACAACGGTCTGAGGGTGGCATACCATCTGCTGTGTTTCTCTCTAGTTTACTGAGGCTCACTCCAAGCTGCAACTTTTTCGCCGGCATCTACCAACAAGTGAGAGAAAGCAATATGTCTTAGGAAGCAGCCAGAGTCATTGTGCTTAAAGATGAGAATAAACATTGAAAGCCAGCATGGGCATACATACATCACCATTTCCAATGTAAAAATGTTTCGTTATTGTTTCTTTTTTCTGAGCTATAATACAAAAACCAAAATAGAAAAGAGAATTGTTTCAACCCTCTCACTTCACCATGTTTTTAAAAAAAAGCAAAACTGTTATTACCTTGTTTTGTATTTTATATGTCCTTTTTTTGCTGGAGTTCTCTGATCATTTAATGGTTCAGTTCTATTTTTCTGGTTTTTTGATGGGCTTAATATGGATTTTTACTTTAACATAGTATGGTTCTGTCCCTGTTCGTTGTGCAGAGCTGGGAGTTGTGTGGAATGCACCAAGCCCAGACCGACTCTCTAGAAAGTGCTTTACACTGGAGGCCAGGTAGTACGCTGGGCAGCAAAGGACTTCGGGGGATAAAGGCTCTGGAATAAAATCAAGCTTTTCCTGTATAGTAGCTGTGAAATCATTTATAAATTATATAGCTTCCCTGAGCTGCAGTTTATAAAATAGATAAGCACATATTTCTCTTTAGCGTAGAACAAAATAAAAGATACACATCACCGACTCTGGGGTGTATAGGCTATAAACGATTGTGAATAAATGGTTACCTGTTTTAAGAGTAGTGTTTCCCCCCCTTTCTGGTAACTTCTTGTTAAGGAATGCTGATGCTTTGTGGAGACTTGGTTTTGCAGTACTAAGCCTTTCTACCATGTTGACTTAGAAGGTTCTCTGTGTGAATCTTCTGTCCTTCTGGCTGCAGTGGGCAAGGGTAGCTGGCTGCCTGAACTTGAGCCTCTGGAACTTTTGCTTGGAGCCTCCACAGGCAGCCAGAGATCCTGAAGGCCCGAGAGTGTCAGGTCTGTGTTGTTTTTTAACCTGATCACAGCCTGAACTCTTTGAATAAGGCAAGTGAAGACCTGAGTGAGCAAAGAAGGGGAAAGTGCTTTCAGGGAACTGTGTGGAGTAGTCGGGTCAGAGGAAGAAAGAACAAGTTGAGGCTGGGTAAACATTTCTCCAGCACCAGCTCTGGGACGGGGTGCCCAGGAGGAGGCTGAGGCGCCCCAGGGAGTGCACTAGCTTAAGGATGATGGGCGCTTGGCCAATGCGCTGGGTTCTTCTGTCAGATTGAACAGAGGCGAGCTCTCCATCTCTGCTCTCACATGCCACCCCACCCCACCCCACCCCACCCTACCGCAGTTGCTCCTGAATTGATTCCAACTCACGGTGACGAGGTCATGGGTTCAGAGTAGAACTGCGCTCCCAGGGGTTTCAGTGATTGCGATCTTTCAGAAGTAGCCCCCAAGCCTGTCTTCTGAGGTGTCTCTGGGTGGACATGAACTTCTAGGTTAGTAGCCCAGTGCTTAACAGTTGGCACCATTCCCAGAATACCTACGTGCCTTCAGAACCCAGGCTCCTTGCCAGTGGCATCGACTGAGTCCCAGCCACCTAGTAGGATGTGCTAGGAATTGCCCTTGAGGGTTCGGAGACCCTCAG